ATCTATTGTGTAATGCGATGAATATAATAATGCGATCTTGTCTAGGTGTCGTCTTTTAGGCCTGTCACGCCAGGGTCTAAAAAAAACAAAAGGGAGCCAAGAAACTTTCTTCATTCAGAAACTGCAGTAATCTGGACTTGCCAAATAGTATAGACTGTATTGGATATATTTGTTCCAGGGTCTATATGTCAGACAATTATCTCAGTTGCATTACTGATTGTGTATTCCCCTATAGGCACACACACTTTGGCTGCTGTTTGCACGTGAATCACGTGCTTTTTTAATGCATGATGTGAAATTCCACTATGATTATATGCCGCGTTCAGATGCAACGCCACGGTATTGTAAATGTACACCTCAACGATAGCGACATACAAAGCATTAGTTTTTCCCTTATCTGTAGTACTAGTATATGTGTTGACATGCTCGGTGATATGTACACACGGTCCCCTCTACTTCCTCGTTGTTTCTTTACAATGTTACCTGATCCGATCCCAGGTCGTGACTATTACCTGAACATTGCATTAATGTCACCTGCCTGCATTGTAGGTGTACCACCAACGGATGATTGTTGTCGTTCAAATGGCGTGTCACCAACAAATAAAGTATGTCATACACCGACGTCAGGCGTCGGACCCGGTTGACAACACAAAGAATGACACTGCTGTACGCTGTTAGTGTTGTGTGTTCTGTAGAGGGACAGTCTTACTATCTTCCTGTATGTGTATGTCTGCTGTACGCTGTTAGTGTTGTGTGTTCTGTAGAGGGACAGTCTTACTATCTTCCTGTATGTGTATGTCTGCTGTACGCTGTTAGTGTTGTGTGTTCTATAGAGGTGCAGTCTTACTATCTTCCTGTATGTGTATATCTGATGTACGCTGTTAGTTTGTGTGTTCTGTAGAGGGGCAGTCTTACTATCTTCCTGTATGTGTATGTCTTATGTACGCTGTTAGTGTTGTGTGTTCTGTAGAGGGGCAGTCTTACTATTTTCCTGTATGTGTATGTCTTATGTACGCTGTTAGTGTTGTGTGTTCTGTAGAGGGACAGTCTTACTATCTTCCTGTATGTGTATGTCTTATGTACGCTGTTAGTGTTGTGTGTTCTGTAGAGGGGCAGTCTTACTATCTTCCTGTATGTGTATGTCTGATGTACGCTGTTAGTTTGTGTGTTCTGTAGAGGGGCAGTCTTACTATCTTCCTGTATGTGTATGTCTGCTGTACGCTATTAGAGTTGTGTGTTCTGTAGAGGGGGCAGTCTTACTCTCTTCCTGTATGTGTATGTCTGCTGTACGCTATTAGTTTGTATGTTCTGTTGAGGGGCAGCCTTACTATCTTCCTGTATGTGTATGTCTACTGTATGCGGTAACTGTTGTGTGTTCTGTAGAGGTGCAGTCCTACTATCTTCCTGTATGTGTATGTCTGCTGTACGCGGTAACTGTTGTGTGTTCTGTAGAGGGACAGTCTTACTATCTTCCTGTATGTGTATGTCTGATGTACGCTGTTAGTGTTGTGTGTTCTGTAGAGGGGCAGTCTTACTATCTTCCTGTATGTGTATGTCTGATGTACGCTGTTAGTGTTGTGTGTTCTGTAGAGGTGCAGTCTTACTCTCTTCCTGTATGTGTATGTCTGCTGTACGCTATTAGTTTGTGTGTTCTGTAGAGGGGCAGTCTTACTCTCTTCCTGCATGTGTAAGTCTGCTGTACGCGGTAACTGTTGTGTGTTCTGTAGAGGGACAGTCTTACTATCTTCCTGTATGTGTATGTCTGTGGTACGCTGTTAGTGTTGTGTGTTCTGTAGAGGTGCAGTCTTACTATCTTCCTGTATGTGTATGTCTGCTGTACGCTGTTAGTGTTGTGTGTTCTGTAGAGGGGCAGTCTTACTATCTTCCTGTATGTGTATGTCTGATGTACGCTGTTAGTGTTGTGTGTTCTGTAGAGGGGCAGTCTTACTATCTTCCTGTATGTGTATGTCTGCTGTACGCGGTAACTGTTGTGTGTTCTGTAGAGGGGCAGTCTTACTATCTTCCTGTATGTGTATGTTTCATGTACGCTATTATTTTGTGTGTTCTGTAGAGGTGCAGTCCTACTATCTTCCTGTATGTGTATGTCTGTGGTACGATGTTAGTGTTGTGTGTTCTGTAGAGGTGCAGTCCTACTATCTTCCTGTATGTGTATGTCTTATGTACGCTGTTAGTGTTGTGTGTTCTGTAGAGGGGCAGTCTTACTATCTTCCTGTATGTGTATGTCTGATGTACGCTGTTAGTGTTGTGTGTTCTGTAGAGGGGCAGTCTTACTATCTTCCTGTATGTGTATGTCTTATGTACGCTGTTAGTGTTGTGTGTTCTGTAGAGGGGCAGTCTTACTCTCTTCCTGCATGTGTAAGTCTGCTGTACGCGGTAACTGTTGTGTGTTCTGTAGAGGGACAGTCTTACTATCTTCCTGTATGTGTATGTCTGCTGTACGCGGTAACTGTTGTGTGTTCTGTAGAGGTGCAGTCTTACTATCTTCCTGTATGTGTATGTCTGCTGTACGCGGTAACTGTTGTGTGTTCTGTAGAGGTGCAGTCTTACTATCTTCCTGTATGTGTATGTCTGCTGTACGCGGTAACTGTTGTGTGTTCTGTAGAGGTGCAGTCTTACTATCTTCCTGTATGTGTATGTCTGTGGTACGCTGTTAGTGTTGTGTGTTCTGTAGAGGGGCAGTCTTACTATCTTCCTGTATCTGTATGTTTCATGTACGCTATTATTTTGTGTGTTCTGTAGAGGTGCAGTCCTACTATCTTCCTGTATGTGTATGTCTGTGGTACGATGTTAGTGTTGTGTGTTCTGTAGAGGTGCAGTCCTACTATCTTCCTGTATGTGTATGTCTTATGTACGCTGTTAGTGTTGTGTGTTCTGTAGAGGGGCAGTCTTACTATCTTCCTGTATGTGTATGTCTGATGTACGCTGTTAGTGTTGTGTGTTCTGTAGAGGGGCAGTCTTACTATCTTCATGTATGTGTATGTCTTATGTACGCTGTTAGTGTTGTGTGTTCTGTAGAGGGGCAGTCTTACTCTCTTCCTGCATGTGTAAGTCTGCTGTACGCGGTAACTGTTGTGTGTTCTGTAGAGGGACAGTCTTACTATCTTCCTGTATGTGTATGTCTGCTGTACGCGGTAACTGTTGTGTGTTCTGTAGAGGTGCAGTCTTACTATCTTCCTGTATGTGTATGTCTGCTGTACGCGGTAACTGTTGTGTGTTCTGTAGAGGTGCAGTCTTACTATCTTCCTGTATGTGTATGTCTGCTGTACGCGGTAACTGTTGTGTGTTCTGTAGAGGTGCAGTCTTACTATCTTCCTGTATGTGTATGTCTGCTGTACGCAGTAACTGTTGTGTTTTCTGTAGAGGGGCAGTCTTACTATCTTCCTGTATGTGTATGTCTGCTGTACGCTGTTAGTGTTGTGTGTTCTGTAGAGGGGCAGTCTTACTGTCTTCCGGTATGTGTATGTCTCATGTACGCTATTAGTTTGTGTGTTCTGTAGAGGGTGCAGTCTTACTATTTTCCTGTATGTGTATGTCTGTTGTACGCTGTTAGTTTGTGTGTTCTGTAGAGGGGCAGTCTTACTATCTTCCTGTATGTGTAAGTCTGATGTACGCTGTTAGTTTGTGTGTTCTGTAGAGGTGCAGTCTTACTATCTTCCTGTATGTGTATGTCTGTTGTACGCTGTTAGTGTTGTGTGTTCTGTAGAGGGGCAGTCTTTCTATCTTCCTGTATGTGTATGTCTGCTGTACGCTACTGGTGTTGTGTGGTAGCTATTAATAAAATATACAATGTTGTATTATCATCTGGATTATTGTAATCAGTCATCTAGATAATTTTATTCTGATATTACTTGAAATTTCTACCGTTGTAATCAAATCTGTATCTGGCGTTAAAGCAAAGCTGAGTTGTCGACACAAAATCAATGGCGTAGGGCAACATCTGTCGTGTACATGAACAAGCGCCTCGCGGGACACACTGTCACTCACTCAGCGAAATGGACAAGCACGAGTCACCGCGCGGCACGTGTCCCGGTAATACGTCAAGCTGGAAGTGAAACACGTCGCAGGTAGGAATGTGTTACCGCTGCAATCACTGATATAATGTTATATACTTGTGTCAGGCTGTTCCAGTGACTGACATATTGCCTTATAATTATACATAACATAATACTGTCATTTCGTTTGTAGGACATATTTACTAGGCATTTGCAGTAGCGTCAAGATGACCTCTACTATAACATTATGATGTTCTAATTACTTCTACCATATAATATCTCGATGTTATAATGACCTGTGTTATACTATCGTGATGTTATAATGACCTGTATTATATTATCGTGATGCTATAATGACCTCTATTATACTATCATGGTGCTTTAATGACCTTTATTATACTATCGAGATGCTATAATGACCTGTATTATACCATTGTGATGCTATAATGACCTGTATTATACTATCGTGATGCTATAATGACCTGTATTATACTATTGTGATGTTGTAATGACCTGTATTATACTATCGTGGTGCTATAATGACCTGTATTATACTATCGTGATGCTATAATGACCGGTATTATACTATCGTGATGTTATAATGACCTGTATTATACTATAGTGATGTTATAGCGACCTCTTCTATAATACTTGTATCATGCTGTTATAATTGGCCTCTACTCTAACATTATGGTGTTATACAATATTAGAATGTTATTCTGACCTCCTCTGTAATATTATAATGTTATAATGACCTCTACTACAACAGCAGGATGACATAATTGCCTCCACTATAACATTGGATGTTATGACGACCTCTGCTACAACAGTGTGATGTCATAATGACAACTACCTGACTAGTGTGACCTTATGATAGCATGTACTATAACAGCGTTGTGTTATGATATTCTGTTATGACCTATGGTACGTCAGTGCTTCCATATATTACAATATGTGCGCGGCATGCAGTATCAATATTGAAACATGATATCGACCAAGCCGTTCCTATTCCATGTATTCCGCAGGAAAACGTCCTACTGAATTAATGTGTCACCACATGTGTGGCTTGTCGTAGTATAGCAGGATACTGTTTTCACCAGACTCCAACCAATGGCCGATTTGTCCTCGCTACTGTTGTTTGTTAAATGACCGCCAAAGCCTTAGACAAGCATATCTAGCTTTGTCTGTCCCTCAACGTACACGCCTCCCCGTGGCTGGGTGACTAATATCACGACATTGAGGCAGTAACCCGGCTGCCGCGGAGCTCAGATACGTCGTCAAAATGAGAGGTGTGTGTATTTGAAAACTCGAAATAGTTCCAGGTAGTGTCATAAGGCTGAAGAGGAGTTTGGTGGGCTCACATTTTTTGAATGAAATAGCGGGCTGTTTGGTTACTGTCCAAAACACCTAGAGAGGAAGGAGACTGTACAATCAATGGTAGGTTTATTTACTTACATTGTTTCAGTGATACATTATTACCTCATCTACAGGTAATCGGTACTCAGTTGTCTGTGTTTCCTAAACCCATAACACTGTCTGTTAAACACGTTTCTAGGGCTCCCGTATTTCACATACAGAGGTGTGCGTGACAACTACATACAAGTCTCACATATACAGGTGTGTGTGACAACTACATACAAGTCTCACATATACAGGTGTGTGTGACAACTACATACAAGTCTCACATATACAGGTGTGTGTGACAACTAAATACACGTCTTACATATACAGGTGTGTGTGACAACTATATACAAGTCTCACATATACAGGTGTGTGTGACAACTACATAGTCTCACATATACAGGTGTGTGTGGCAACTACATAGCCTCACATATACAGGTGTGTGTGGCAACTACATAGCCTCACATATACAGGTGTGTGTGACAACTATAAAGCCTCACATATACAGGTGTGTGTGACAACTCCATACAAGTCTTATATATACAGGTGTGTGTGACAACTTCATACAAGTCTGATATATACAGGTGTGTGTGTGACAACTCCATAGTTTCACATATACAGTTGTGTGTGACAACTCCATAGTCTCACATATACAGTTGTGTGTGACAACTCAATATTCACACATATACAGGTGTGTGTGACAACTCCATATTCACACATATACAGGTGTGTGTGACAACTCCATACAAGTCTTATATATACAGGTGTGTGTGACAACTCCATACAAGTCTGATATATACAGGTTGTGTGTGACAACTCCATATTCACACATATACATGTGTGTGTGACAACTCCATAGTCTCACATATACAGTTGTGTGTGACAACTCCATAGTCTCACATATACAGGTGTGTGTGTGACAACTCCATAGTCTCACATATACAGGAGTGTGTGACAACTCCATATTCACACATATACAGGTGTGTGTGGCAACTCCATATTCACACATATACAGGTGAGTGTGTGACAACTACATACAAGTCTCACATATGCAGGTGTGTGTGACAACTACATAAAAGTCTCACATATGCAGGTGTGTGTGACAACTCCATAGTCTCACGCAAGTAGAGGTGAAGCATCTGGTCACATTGGTAATGTTTTAGGTAACCGTGTGGTGAATAGCCACTTACATGAAGCTAAAGTTAGTCACACAAATACGTGGGCTACACAGATGCAGGTAAAAACAGGTTTAGGCGCAGTTACAAAGTGACTGAAACATAACACGGCTTCGAAAATAGACGAACCTGGCAATTAGACTATACGTATCCGTCAACGCTGTGGCAACCCAGATACCAAAACGCGACTGCACCACAATGTGGGATAGTGTGTATCTTCCGGGTTGTATATTACATCCTTGTGGACTCTATTTCACTCTATTTCAGCAGCGTTCCGCCCGAATTGTGTCAGGTTACAGATTGTTATTGTTTATGGCAAATCGAATTCTGTTAGGTTTTTATTGACAGCATACAGATCAATGCAGTGGTTATCAAGAACATACTTGAAACATGGCGATTGGCCAACTAGTTGTGCGAGAGAGACATGTACTGTTACTGTTTCCATTTATCATAATATGATACCGAATTCCAAACATGTTTATGCTTTATTTACTCGCCCAATGATTGAATATGTTAGGATCAAAAGAAAGTGAAGGTAAAAGTATATTTTAAAATATCTTTTGGCTTCTCATCTAGACATAATTAGTCTACTGTGATGTTTTAAAGCCCTGAACTTCTAAATAGCTTTCAGTCAATTTGACTATATAATTGAAAAATAACCGAAATATTTGGCGTTTTGTAACGTCGTGGCCGACCTTTCTCTCCGTCGGCCCGTTCAATGGGATGTCCTCGGTCTGAACCTTTCTATGGGTGCACGTGGGACATACAATTTCGGAACTTGTACAAAAAATCGTTCCATATTTCTTCACGTAACTTTGCACTGGGCTTATGTCTTCTGATGGTTCTCGCTTAAAATGCAAGTACCGAATGTATATACAGTCATGTTACTTGTCTGCAATAGACATGCCACCTTCCCTGTGTCATAATAGAGATGTGATGCATGGGCTAGATAAATTAAAAATAATAGTTAACAAGCATGGTAGCACAAGTGCCCAAACCGGATTTACTATTCATCAGAAAATCACACACAAAAATAACGTGTGTGTGTGTGTTTGAGTGTGAGTGTGAGTTATTATTTAACGCTGCATCGGTATTATTTCAGCCATATAGCGACGAGAACAAGTTGATGTATACACAAGTCTGGAATACAAAGTTATATTTAAAAACAATTTTGTCTGACATATTTCATTATAATACCATAAACCTCTTAAGTGCTCGTGTAACCCCGTGAAGGGTTTCTAAAACTCCCTATGGAGCGCATTAGTCTAAATGTAATCCCTTGTTGTCTGGTTAACAATGATTGTAAACCCTCCTTTAAGGGTAGTTAGCCCGAGGAACATACCGAGGCGGCCATAGTTAGCCCGGGGAACATACCGAGGCGGCCGTAGTTAGCCCGGGGAACATACCGAGGGGGCCGTAGTTAGCCCGAGGAACATATCGAGGGGGCCGTAGTTAGCCCGAGGAACATACCGAGGCGGCCATAGTTAGCCCGGGGAACATACCGAGGCGGCCGTAGTTAGCCCGGGGAACATACCGAGGCGGCCGTAGTTAGCCCGAGGAACATATCGAGGGGGCCGTAGTTAGCCCGAGGAACATACCGAGGCGGCCGTAGTTAGCCCGAGGAACATATCGAGGGGGCCGTAGTTAGCCCGAGGGACATACCGAGGCGGCCGTAGTTAGCCCGAGGAACATTGAAAAGGGGGCCGTAGTTAGCCCGAGGAACATACCAAGGGGGCCGTAGTTAGCCCGGGGAACATACCGAGGGGGCCTTAGTTAGCCCGAGGAACATACCGAGGGGGCCGTAGTTAGCCCGGGGAACATACCGAGGGAGCCGCAGTTAGTTGAAGGAACATACTGAGGCAGCCTTAGTTAACGCGGGGAAATACTGAGGGGGCCGTAGATGGCCCGAGGAACATTTTGAGGGGGCCGTAGTTAGCCCGAGGAACATACCGAAGGGGCCGTAGTTAGCCCGAGGAACATACCGAGGGGGCCTTAATTAGCCTGAGGAACATACCGAGGGGGCCATGGTTAGCCCGAGGAACATACCGAGGGGGGCAGTAGTTAGCCCGGGGAACATACCAAGGGGGCCGTAGTTAGCCCGAGGAACGTACCGAGGCGGCCGTACTTAGCCTGGGTAACATACCGAGGGATCCGTAGTTATCCCGAGGAACATACCGAGGGGGCCGTAGTTAGCCCGGGGAACATACCGAGGGAGGCATAGTTAGCCCCAGGAACATGTCGAGGCGGCCTTAGTTAGCCCGAGGAACATACCGAGGGGACCGTAGTTAGCCAAGGGAACATACAGAGAGGGCTGTAGTTAGCCCGGGGAACATACCGAGGCGGCCGTAGTTAGCCCGGGGAACATACCGAGGGGGCCGTAGTTAGTCCAGGGAACATACCGAGGGGGCCGTATTTAGCCCGGGGAAGATACCGAGGGAGCTGTAGGTAGCCCAAGGTACATACCGAGGGGGCCGTAGTTAGTCCGGGGAACATACCGAGGGGGCTGTAGTTAGCCCGGGGAACATACCGAGGGAGCCATAGTTAGCCCGAGGAACACACCGAGGGGGGCGTAGTCAGACCGGGGAACATACCTAGGGGGCAGTAGTTAGCCTGGGGAACATACCGAGGGGGCCGTAGTTAGCCCGAGGAACATACCGAGGCGGCCGTAGTTAGCCCGGAGAACATACCGAAAATCCGTAGTTAGCCCGGGGAACATACCAAGGGGGTCGTAGTTAGCCCGGGGAACATACTGAGGCGGCCTTAGTTAACGCGGGGAAATACTGAGGCGGCCGTAGTTAGCCCGAGGAACATACCGAGGGGGCCGTAGTTAGCCTGGGGAACATACCGAGGGGGCCGTAGTTAGCCCGGGGAACATACCGAGGGGGCCGTAGTTAGCCCGGGGAACATACCGAGGGGGTCGTAGTAAGCCCGGGGAACATACCGAGGGGGCCGTAGTTAGCCCAGGGAACATACCGAGGGGGCAGTAGTTAGCCCGGGGAACATACCGAGGCGGCCGTAGTTAGCCCGGGGAACATACCGAGGGGGCCGTAGTTAGCCCGAGGAATATACCGAGGCGGCCGCAGTTAGCCCGAGGAATATACCGAGGGGGCCGTAGTTAGCCCGAGGAACATACCGAGGCGGCCGTAGTTAGCCCGGAGAACATACCGAAAATCCGTAGTTAGCCCGGGGAACATACCGAGGGGGTCGTAGTTAGCCCGGGGAACATACTGAGGCGGCCTTAGTTAACGCGGGGAAATACTGAGGCGGCCATAGTTAGCCCGATGAACATACCGAGGGGGCCGTAGTTAGCCCGGGGAACATACCGAGGGGGCTGTAGTTAGCCTGGGGAACATACCGAGGGAGCTGTAGTTAGCCCAAGGAACATACCGAGAGGGCCGTAGTTAGCCTGGGGAACATACCGAGGGGGCCGTAGTTAGCCCGGGGAACATACCGAGGGGGTCGTAGCTAGCGCGGGGGACATACCGTAGGGTCAGTAGTTAGCCTGGGGAACATACCGAGGGGGCCGTAGTTAGCCCGAGGAACATACCGAAGCGGCCGTAGTTAGCCCGAGGAACATATCGAGGGGGCCGTAGTTAGCCTGGGGAACATACCGAGGTGGCAGTAGTTAGCCCGGGGAACATACCGAGGGGGCCGTAGTTAGCCCGAGGAACATACCGAAGCGGCCGTAGTTAGCCCGAGGAACATATCGAGGGGGCCGTAGTTAGCCTGGGGAACATACCGAGGGGGCAGTAGTTAGCCCGGGGAACATACCGAGGGGGCCGTAGTTAGCCCGGGGAACATACTGAGGGGGCCGTAATTAGCCCGGGGAACATACCGAGGGGGCCTTAGTTAGCCCGGGGAACATACCGAGGGGGTCTTAGTTAGCGCGGGGAACATACCGTGGGGCCGTAGTTAGCCTGAGGAACATACCGAGGGGGCCGTAGTTAGCCCGGGGAACATACCAAGGGGGCCGTAGTTAGTCCGGGGAACATACCGAGGGGGCCGTAGTTAGCCCGGGGAACATACCAAGGGGGCCGTAGTTAGCCCTGGGAACATACCGAGGGAGCTGTAGTTAGCCCGGGGAACATACCAAGGGAGCCATAGTTAGCCCGAGGAACATACCGAGGGGGCCGTAGTTAGCCCGGGGAACATACCGAGGGGGCCGTAGTTAGCCCGGGGAACATACCGAGGGGGCCGTAGTTAGCGCGAGGAACATACCGTGGGGTCGTAGTTAGCGCGAGGAACATACCGAGGGGTTCGTAGTTAGCGCGAGGAACATACCGTGGGGTCGTAGTTAGCCTGGGGAACATACCGAGGGGGCCGTAGTTAGCCCGAGGAATATACCGAGGCGGCCGTAGTTAGCCCGAGGAATATACCGAGGCGGCCGTAGTTAGCCCGAGGAACATACCGAGGGGGCCGTAGTTAGCCCGGGGAACATACCGAGGGGGCCGTAGTAAGCCCGGGGAACATACCGAGGGGGCCGTAGTTAGCCCGGGGAACATACCGAGGGGGCAGTAGTTAGCCCGGGGAACATACCGAGGCGGCCGTAGTTAGCCCGGGGAACATACCGAGGGGGCCGTAGTTAGCCCGGGGAACATACCGAGGGGGTCGTAGTAAGCCCGGGGAACATACCGAGGGGGCCGTAGTTAGCCCAGGGAACATACCGAGGGGGCAGTAGTTAGCCCGGGGAACATACCGAGGCGGCCGTAGTTAGCCCGGGGAACATACCGAGGGGGCAGTAGTTAGCCCGAGGAATATACCGAGGCGGCCGCAGTTAGCCCGAGGAATATACCGAGGCGGCCGTAGTTAGCCCGAGGAACATACCGAGGGGGCCGTAGTTAGCCCGAGGAACATACCGAGGGGTTCGTAGTTAGCGCGAGGAACATACCGTGGGGTCGTAGTTAGCCTGGGGAACATACCGAGGGGGCCGTAGTTAGCCCGAGGAACATACCGAGGGGTTCGTAGTTAGCGCGAGGAACATACCGTGGGGTCGTAGTTAGCCTGGGGAACATACCGAGGGGGCCGTAGTTAGCCCGAGGAATATACCGAGGCGGCCGTAGTTAGCCCGAGGAATATACCGAGGCGGCCGTAGTTAGCCCGAGGAACATACCGAGGGGGCCGTAGTCAGCCCGGGGAACATACCGAGGGGGCCGTAGTTAGCCCGGGGAACATACCGAGGGGGCCGTAGTAAGCCCGGGGAACATACCGAGGGGGCCGTAGTTAGCCCAGGGAACATACCGAGGGGGCAGTAGTTAGCCCGGGGAACATACCGAGGGGGCCGTAGTTAGCCCGGGGAACATACCGAGGGGGCCGTAGTTAGCCCTTGGAGAAGTGGCTTCTCCTTTACATTTTATTTAATACTGTTTAAAACACGGATGTGTGTTTGTGTGTCTGTGTGTTTGTGTGTGTCTGTGTGTTTGTGCGTGTCTGTGTGTCTGTGTGTCTGTGTGTTAGTGTTAGACTGTTTGACCTATCGTTGTCACTGTTCTTCCATTCTCATGGTAATCAATTGTCTGCTTTACAGGTTTACCGTCTCTAGGTAATGTGATGGCGTCACCGGACGAAATGAGTCATCCTCAACGGGGACAGAACCGACTACATAAATGGGCTTTGTGGCGGATGTCTGTCAACCAGGAGCTGATACATGGCTTGGAGGAAGCGAGTCCAAACACTGAGCGACAGGCATGCAACTCTTTCATGGACACCCAAAGCATCACCCAGCGTTACATACAAAACCCTGACATGCAAAGGGAACAGACATACCATATTAGACACACATACGGCATGCCCCCATCACCTAAATACCCCATGGGAGACACGCTGTACTTTTTGTATGGGTTACCAAGGGCTACTGCTTCGGCCTCGGTACCTGAGGTGATATCCTCCCAATATGCTTCCATGCCAAACATAGCTGACATAACATTACATGACGACCCCACACAACCTGGAAGCGTCAAAAACAAGACTGATTTCCCTCGACGTACTTCAGCGCCTGCACAACCTGTTTTGCTTGATAGTCGTGAACCTGAACAACTGCAGCCCAATATCACAGCTCAAGCTCCACCACTAGGAAGGTACTCACCTCGCCCAATGACTTTCTTGGATAGGGTTAGTGAGTTGAACTCAAAACGAGGACAGCCGTCACCTGTTCACTTCCGGGACACGCCGGAAACAGACAACAGTCCAGATCATGTTAATAATATCAACAAACCTGTTGTCGTTCCCCCGTCAGTTTTTCGGAGCGAAGTTATGAGGCGATCCAACATCGATCTGCCACTGAACATAGATGGTCATGGAAGTGATCTTTCAGTGCCAAATGATATGATGTACGGTGCTGCTGATGATGATGGTTTTGAGGACCCACGCATTGCTAGATTCAATCCCGGTCGACAGAAGTACACATGGAGCGTGATAAGTGGGGACGGAAGTATGTCTGATAAACGGTACAGGTATGTTGACGAGAGTCATATGATGACACACCTCTGAAGACACACAAGGTTTGTAAAGGAAGATTCCCTTAATATGTTGCCTTTCTCAGCAATTTGAACATCGAACGATCCTGCCTGTTAGCTGTGTAAACTGCTCAACCAACATAACGCGAGTTCACAGAAATCCCACACTTCATATTGTCATTTCATTTGAAAATCTATCATTATTTCTATATTACGTTAACATTACTGTGATGTTGTCAGGGTGGCTCACACCTAGTATTGACAGCTAGGGGTCACACTAATATCGCATTAGCTTTTGTTATGTTCAATATTTCTGTCTTTCAGCATTAACATGGACATCAATTTAGTTTACAATATTCATATATGTGAAATATTCAATAAAAAGTTTATTTGTAAATTTATTAAGCATTACATGTATTTGTTACCATTACTTTCGACTGTTTTTACCAACCAATACCTCTATGTTTTATACATAGTGTCATGGGACAGTAGAGATTGTTGTAAGTTATTTGTAGTGATTGTCGGTGACATAAAATGGTTGAAGCGCTGGTAAAATATCGAGAGTTGTCGTGGTCAGATTTCAGCGACTGACATCGGAGTTACCGTCCCCTTTTACGACCTGACTTGTGTAATATCTTCTTGGTTTGTGGATATATATCTGGAAACATCGAATTCCTGCCGGCTTCCTCTATTCTGGATTCAAGTACCGAGTGAAACAGTGGAACAGTGAAATATTCTGGACTACCATGAGGGCTTGACATAGGGCTTGTAACTTATTACTGCTGTCACAAACTTGGCCCATTGTATTGCCTTTTGTGATTGTAAACCTTAAACTGTATGTGTGAAATAATGTTTTATTTATTCATTGATCATGTGTGGTCATTTACTGATTTTACAATTTAGTCATCAACGTCCTAATTTCTGGTATAGCCTTTGCGTTTCAATATCGAAATCACCTCGTAACAAATGACGAAATACCTTTAGATTTCATCCGAAATAGTCAAGTCTTGTTGCAGCAGACTTATGTTATTAAACTTACACTTAAACTTGTTTTAGCTGAGTTTGCTAAATCAGTTGGTCAGTTCCATTTGAAAGTATCAAGTGTTTCTATCCTTGTATTCGAATCAGCGAATGGTTAATATTCCGTGCTCAGGATCTCTATAAGAATATGGCAATCGATGTTACGTTGCCTGTGCTCTGACCATCGTAAACATAGTTGCCAGCTCATTGCCACACATACTAGCGTATGTGCATTGCACATGAAATAAAGTCCAGCTGTCAACTCACGCCCCAGTAGCCTTTGCTGCCCTAACCGGAGCCATGCCCGCTACTACACATCAACATTTGGGAGCTTGAAACAACAATCTGGTATTTGGAAGTGGATGCTTTAATAAATAAGGATATCTGTATTACTATCACATGTTCAACATTTTGAATTAAGAGGCATCCATACTATATCCTAAAGCTTAATATTCTGACAGATTTGAAGAAGGTTATGCTTTAACGAGATGGGGATCACATGTTATCAGCTGATAACAGTGACCATGGGAGTCTCGCACAAGCACGCGACCACCATATATGTCTGGGCTGAAGGTACACCCATTTATCATATCATGGAGGAAGCTAACGGTCAAAAACGGCATTTGCGGATACGTGTGCAAATATAAAAGGCCAGTATTTACTAACACGGCGTTGCGCTTGTCTATCGTAAAAGCACGTCATGCTATGTGCTCGTTATCATGATTAAGATTGTAGTCTATTATATCGAAGATCAGTGTCTAACAAGAAGTGTCCGTTGAAACTGCATTGCTGTTGTGAGTGTCTTACTAACTAATCACTGACCTTGAGATGTATTGAAAGGCACATTCAAGGAAAACTTGCCGTGTTTGGTTACCATGTGCAAGAGTTCAATCAAACATCTTTATATGAAGGCCCCTGGGCCCATTTGAATACAAATATAACACGGAGTTGAGAATACCTTCTTCGACAAGAGAATTTAGAAGTGACATTGTATGACCCATATGTATGGTCAGCATTGCATATTAGTTTACAACATGAAACATCAGTTCCCATTGCTTCATATTCAAGATCTTTTCTGTTACTGAGTAGTCAATTACAGTGCTGATCCAAGTGCCCTGTTTTTTAGTTTTAAAAATTTCTCTTTGTATTTATCTGGTACAGCAAATGGGCACTATCATTGCATTAGCATTACAAAAGAGTTTTTCTCAGAGGGATTGTAAGGAAGTGTGGCGATACTCGAAAACAAAGACTAACAATGTTTTTGGGTGCTCTGAAATAAGCTTGCCGTTCATTCATTCAAGAAGTGTAATGATTTGGGCAGGTCGAAGTAAGTATAGTTTGTTATTTGCTTCCATGTGATTATGACAAAACATAACTTGCTCAAATTGTATAAACAGATTCGTTTGTTTGCTTGCTGTTTCAATACAGCAGTCAGTAATATGCCAGATATATCACGGCTACATAAATCAGTGGTTGGCATAATAAGCAGCCTTCCATTTCGTCGTGGTACTACGATGACTCACAATCAACGATGTCACCCAATGGCGACAACCAATAGAAGCGGCTCCCCGCGGTGGTTATATAACCATCCGTTATATCATGGAATATGTTCATATAATCTGCTTCTTGTTACCACTCACGAACATTTACAAATCCAAACGGAGAAGATGTATGCGTACATGAACATATTACGTAACAAACCAGGGGCGCGAGGGAGAATGTGTTAAGCGTTCAATTATATTTTACATTTTGCGGTAGAAAAATGTTTAAAAACATAAGTTTGTTGATGTGTAAAGGTAAATTTTCTGACGGTACTTAAATATAGGCGTGAGAGACCAGTGTAACTCTCCAAGATGTAACATAGAGATGTGCACATCATATTGACTTATCATGGGATTCCAGCACGATCTGGTGGTGCATTTTGTCTAGCCATTGTAGTGCCGGGGCAGCAGGCTGAAATCAATCCTTGAAAAATTAACTCAATAGTGATTTGAGCATTGGCTGAGATCACTCTAGGTAACTCCCCTCTACCAGGCCCTTTAAAACACTCACTCTAGGCTGAGATCACTCTAGAGTGTCTTGGGCCTAGGCTCAGGTAACTCCCCTCTACCAGGCGCAAAACACTCACTCTAGGCTGAGATCACTCTAGAGTGTCTTGGGCCTAGGCTCAGGTAACTCCCCTCTACAAGGCCCAACACACTCACTCTAGGCTAAGATCACTCTGGGGTGTTTCAGCCTTGGCTCAGGTAACTCCCCTCTACCAGGCCCAAAACGCTCACTCTAGGCTAAGATCACTCCCCGTTGTGCTCAAATCACCCCTTCATTTTTACAGTACGCTACTTCTACTTCTCTGTTTTGATGTACAGTTCTGAAGCTTTCAGATATTCATGTGACCTTCTTCTTAGATGAAAAAGGTAGTAGGTGATTGTCGACATACATTATTAAGTGAAGACAGTAGGTAGTGATGATCTGTATATATTGCTTTTGAATTAAAATGTGACATCAAACGCTCGTTACAATCCTGAAAAGATGTTGCTTTTTCAGATCCCTCAAATAGTTACGTAAAAAGTCACAGGTGTTTCAATTTAGTTTTTTTCTAATTACAATAATCACATCAGGTTTATGTCGATGCATGAAAGGAATAAGATGCATAAAAAACATTGTTTATGCCCATATCGAATACTTAGAAATGACATTTCTCCTGGAACTTCTTTTCGAGAATATATTATTTGATTTGGATTTCATAATACCAGAAATCAGAGGATATTCTAATTGAACAATGTATGTCCATTACATGACATATACAGGTGTCAACACACCTCTGCCGTGTTTACCCATTACCTGGCACTGTCTTCAGTTTCCATCTTCTGCAGATCCCCGTTTCACTAAAGGTAAGCGCACATATAAAAACTATATTTAGTAGTCAACTAAAGAAGATCTTCAACATCTTGTATTCTAAAGAAATGTTAAAACATGCCATTACTCTATCACCATTAAGAACAGAGACTAACTGGGCCTCATCTGTTAGACATAAGCTTTATTCATGTGGTTATGGTAATACTAGTTTATGGACAGAACAGGACACGTACGTACCAGATCTTTTCATAGGTGCGTTTACTTAGATCTTTTCATAGGTGCGTTTACTTAGATCTTTTCATAGGTGCGTTTACTCAGACCCAGACTCGGTAAGATATGTATATTCAATATTGACATTGTGCTCTATCATTATCTAATAAACTATGCAGTTATTCCCTCATAAAAAAGCAGTTTCTGTAGCAAGAAATATTTATCTAATGTAACACTAAAACATAAAAAACCTATTCTGTAGAAAGTAATATTTATGTAATGTAACACTTGACACTTGCAAGATTCAGATGTTGAGCTTATTGAGACGGGGAGATATATAGTAATATTAGGTGAACACAGAATTGTCAGTATTTTATTTACACATTGTTGAAAATGAATATAATTTCTTACTAATATGTCCGTTGTATACTGAAACAGTTAATTGATAAATATTACATCCATTATCCTGGTGAACAGAAGTTTGTTTCGTTAATGTCAAGTAACAATGTAATAATAACGAAGAAAAACTTTCAATGCACATGTTGCATGCTTTGAAACAAAGACGTTCCAAATATGTTACCGTGTAATAATTGTTTAGAATAACATGTACTATAGGCCTATGGCCTCTCAGTATTATAAGTAAACACCATTGGACTTTGGCCAAAGCTCACAATAAAGGTTGAGACGGTACGTTTTCAAAATCCCAACAAAAATAGAAACACGTAAATGTACTTCAGCAACGAAGAACGGTTGTTCATATTGTGAAGAAAAATAACCCATTGTCAATGTAATGTAAAACTATTCGTTTTCCGTCAGTTTGTAAAGAGTGGACAAATAAATATGCAGTGATACGGATCCTCGAAGTCCTTCATGTACAGGGCGGCTCGGGATGTATATGTCTGAGAAAGTGAAATTATTCCATACATAGCACAAAAATATGTCTGAAAACACAGACTTTATATACAAATTTTAATAACAAACTAATAGCAACATTGGGTTATAACTGTGGGTTATGTTATTTTAGAGTAGCACCTCAAGATCATCAGAGTAAGGACCCGTGAAGATCCGGGGTAGAATAGGTCTCCAGCAACCCACGCTTGCCGTAAAAGGGCGACTATGCTTGTCGTAAGAGGCGACTAACGGGATCAGGTGGTCAGGTTTGCTGACTTGGTTGATGCATGTCATCGTATCCCAATTGCGTGGATCAATGCTCATGATATCAATCACTGGATTGTCTGGTCAAGACTCGATTATTTACAGACTGCCGTCATATAGCTGGAATATTGGTAAGTGCAGAGTTAAACAACAACCAACACTCATCCGAGTAAGATGACGTGTTAGAATTTATCGCCAGAGCCCATGAACGTTATTCGGATGCTTGTGTTGGGTGGGGTGTGCTTCGCGCCTTTTGCTTCAATTAACCATTTCAACGATAAGACACAGGGTATACTTAGTAGGCCCTAACCTGCACATGTCTCCGTGCCGCTGGCCAAGGTAATAATAGCCCAGATGCTGTATTATAATTTTTATTTGGCAGCGCTGTGAATATTTTGATAGATATATTTAACGTGCTTAACTCAGGGAATATACAAAACATGTATAAATCCCCAGGTAAAACCTTCACCCTGCAAAAATGCCCACGATACTATTTTCCCGTTAACAAAACGAAGTGTAGGTGTTTTGTCGTCATTGATCTCCAAGTTGAAACATTTAACAAACACACAGAAGAGTGGTTGTTTCATGGTGGAAGGAAGATAAAGTTATCTCTTAAAGCAGATTTTCAAAATATTCCAACAAGACGTTGCAGAAAACTATGATTGTAAACACAACACAAATACGTAACTCTGATTTTGCGGCCGATTTACACATGTACGTAGTATGTCGCGTTTACCCGTGCGTGGTTTTGTTGTTAGTGTGACACTGTGAGTGTGTGCAGCATGGGAACGGTTTGTACACAGTGTAAATGTTGTTGGTGGATGAAATGATGACACGGTTTCCGACATAGTAAGAGCTGCAGGTGGTGTCTTCTCTTTAGCCGACCTGTCTGAGGCAATGCGTCTTGTTCGTAAGATGCCCGAGAAACACTCGCAAAGTGTACATTCATGGAAACATTTGTATCAGAAATCAGTGACCAGCGTGGAGAAAATGACAGCTGTGTAACTTCTACGTGCCACTAGTTCATCCGATAAGCTGTTGACGAGTTACCAGCTGTAATTAGAATACATGTGTAAAACATACATATATCTATTTACACAAATGTTTGACCCTGTTTGTCCTTCTGGTCGTGAGATAAGTAATGACTGACATTCAAAGGGCCTGATGCAACTC